AGCCCCAGGGCGCTGCAGCCCCCGCCCCTCTGAGGGAGCACAGGCCAAGGGTTTGTCAGTGCCCTTTGCTGTCACTGCTGCATTGCACAGAGGCTGTAGCAATAACATTTTCCCTGCAGTTTTGAGGAAGTTCCTATATAGCCAAGGCTTCTTGTTTTACTGTGTTTGCAGATCTCTGCAAATGCCCGTCACAACTCCTGTGCACGTGCTCCATTTCCCTGGAGGCTCAGAATCAGATTAGACTGTAGCACCAGGGTTCTTGATTTCACAGTCAGTGCAAACACCTCAGTGGAGCACACAGCCTTAAAGCAAGAGTTGTCTGCTCCTTTCCCATCACAGCTGTCTTAATACTCTCCTCTAATAGTCTTTCTCTTAAAAAGAAACAGCTATAGTTTCCAGTCCCTGCTATTACTAACAAAAGAAATCTTTTCTCAGCTGAAAGTACTTAGTCACAGGCTATCTCTAAGCTGCTTTCTAAGAAAATCCCTGTCCTCCACTTTGCATGATAGGATTCTCCACTCCATTTTGTTCAGCATCCTTAACAGAGGCTGCGTGTGCCTGTGCAGGGACTCAGATAAGAGCCAGCTGGGGTGTGTTGCCTGAAGGCCTCCTTATGCTTCCAGCAGGTTGTCTGGGTTTCCCAGCAACCAGGCCTTTCTCTCTTTCATCCTCAGCAGCAAGCACCAGCACTTGCTGTAGTCATCCAGCTCTCAGTCACCTGTTAGCTGGCTTACCACTTCTGATCTCTGACATCCCAAATTACCTGGATTCAGCATCAAATCTTTGCCTCCTGAAACAAGCTTGGGATGATACTCAAAATGGGATCATCCTTTATTAAGCTCATTAAAATGATTGATACAGGAGAATTCAGTGTACTTTCTAGTCTTAGTGCCCATTTTTGCTTTTTTGAAGCTAGTACGGGCTAAAAATAGCCCATCCTTAGAAGGAAATTTTCCCTCTGCTCTTCCCCCTCTGGCTTTTGACTGGGAGCATCTAAATCTCTTTCTTTGTTTACTGAGACCTGTCCCTGTGTAGCATTCCCAGCTGAGATTTCAGACAGCAGTAGTGCTCCATTCTATCACCTGGGCCAGAGCCAAGTGGGTGAGTTAGAGGAAAAGAGGCAGTTTATTGCCCTTGGCTTATAGGGCAGAGGAAGAGAAATAAAATATCACTTGCAAATCTTCTGTAGGGTAAAAGCTGGAGCACTGACCTTGCCTCACAGTCTGAGAGATGAGCATGTGTTGGGTTTGGTTTGGATTTTTTTGCTTGGCTCAGTCATTCTTTTGTGGAAGTGTTGCAAATCCTGTGATCAGAATGACTTGAAGGGAAAACTACCAAAATAAAGTGTTACTGAAAAGAATGTTTACAGATAAGCAGGCACTCAATGCATTTTTCTGTCAGTAGTTGTTAGAGTACAGAAAAACAGGCTTTATAAAATAGCAAGTAAAATAAGCATTAAAAAAAATTATTCTCTCTTCTGCTAATTGTTAACAGATTATCAGCAAACTCGAGCGAGAACGGGGGTTTGAAGAAGTCCAGAAACAGCTCCAGCAAGTAAAAGCCTTATTTGATGAAAAGAAAAAATGCAAATGGCATTGAGCAGAGCACTGACTCACAGCACCACTGTGGGGGATTTTCTATTAGTGCTACTGCTCCCAAAACTGTTTTGACTGACTTTATGTACAGGGTTTGAAACGTTTGGACACTCTTCTCCACTCTGACCATTCCACGTAATCGATGATTGGGAGTGAAACATGGGCACGGTTACATATTCACACAGGGGCATGTGAAAGTGAACCCAATGTCGGCAGGGTCAGCATTTTTAGGTACTTGAGCACACATAACCCTTTGGTTGAAAAGTACCATCTAGTAAGCTTTTTGCTTACTTTAAAATAAGGTCATAGGAGATGTGCAAAATACACTGTAAGTTCAGAGTTGCCCATGTGAACTTGCAAGTCACTTACCTCTTTTTTTTAAGAGAAAAAGCTGATGTTTCACCACATCCTTTCAGCAGCTTGGCAAATTGTGAGGGTGAGAATACGGGTCAGCTGCAGTTTCCTTCCTTCCAGTCAAATGTTCGCTAGATCCTGTTCAGAAAAAATAAACCACCAAAAAAACAACAACAAAAAAAAAGAAAACTACCAAAACAAAAGAAAAACACAAAAAAATCAACCTCAAACACATCAAAGAAAACCCAACAACAACCTGGCACCAAAGTGACACTTAGGATAAGTGTGTTTAGCAGACACAGTGGGTCTGAGGTTGGAAGGCCAAATGCCACATGGCAGACTTACCTTTGTTAGGTTAGAAATTCCATGTCCAAAGTGAAGCGAACCACTGAGGGGAAGAGGTGAGGGGAGGCTTTTGGAGAAGGGCATTCAGCCACCATCAGTCTGTGTTTACATTTTTGACCTTTCCATCCTTAAATAAGCTGTGAAACACTTGTGAGCAGCTTCACAGCTGAAACTGCACTGCATCAGGACACTTGTGATTTGATGAAGCAGCTGCCCATGGCTGCACTTTGGTGCACAAAGCTGTACTCAGGTGCATGATCAGCCCATGCATCAGTGCCCATGGTCCTGGCCAGCCTTGCCATCTGTGTGCAAGGGCCTCACAGACCTAAAGCCAGCATGTGGGGGGGTCAGCTCAAAGGTTGGTGTAATAATATTTAAGAACAAGAAGACTGGGGTTTGAGACAATGATACAAACTTGCTGGGGTTGGGGTGGGGAGAGATAACTGTCTGCCTTAGTCCAGCTGGGGTTTTTTGAGGCTTGGCCATTTTGGAAGGAAGGTGTCCATTACACTTGCGTGGAAAGCAGGGGCATGGCTGTGCTGCTGGGATGGGGCTGGGGCAGTGGCTTCTAAACAAAGCCACAGAGGAGCAGCCGTGGCTCTGGCTCTGCTACAGCACCAGCACAACCCTACCCTCTCCTACAGAGCTGAAAGGGTTTGTCAGCCTGGACTCTGCTTCAGCCACAGGAGGCACGTTCTGAGGCTGTCATGTGCCCTTAGATTTGAGGTAAGGCATTCATGACAAGGAGATAGATACATTTCCATACATTTCTGGAGGGACCCACCACTGCAGGTGAGTGGTGTAGCACAGTGGCCCACAGGCAAGGGCAGAGCTGTCACCTGCCTTGGCAGTGGGAAAGGTGCCATGGGCTGTGAATGGCACAGGTGGCCCAGGTTTGGTACAGAAAGCTGGTGCTGGAGCTGTGAGCAGCCAGAGCTGGCTGCACAGAGGTCCCAGGCAGCGGAGGAGCACGCGGTGCTGAGCTGGAGGAGCCCCAGAGCTCAGGCATCGGTGCTAATGCCGCCTGCTCTGGGCACAAAGGCAGCTGGCCCCAGGCACAATCCCAGTGGCAGAAGCAAGGCAGGCTGTTAATGTGGAGAAAAGCAAACACAAAACAGGGTCCTGCTGGTCTGCCCCGTCCCTACCATGTGATTGCACAAGTTGTTCCTCTTGCATACCAGAGAGGGCAGCCACCAACCAACCCATACTGTGATGGCTTTGTTGGTTTTTTTTTTAATTCAAGTCTTACACTTGCTATTAAGTTTACACTTTATACTTGATGGAATGTATGGCTTTGTTCAGGACACTGCACTACAATGTTGCAGTACTTTCAGCAGTTCTCTGCCTGGCACAATGTATTTTGATAAGTTCCATTTTAATTGGAAAAAAACCCCATACACCTCTAACCTATCTTGCCCTCTGTCCTAAAAGAGTGGACCATGGCTTGACTAGCACTTAAGCTTGGAATACCTGCACGTAAGGGCTTGATTTTTATTGTTCTTAATCTAACCTTTTAAAGCAGCATCAAATAAATAGAAAAAGCACAGTAATTGATACTGAAGGAGAGGCAGGAGTGGATTACACTTTCCAGTTAGTTCTCTTCTGCTTCAAGTGTTTGCTGGCAGTGCATTCAAATGAACTGTGATAGTTTTGTTCAACAGTAACCTTCTGTACAGGCAGAAAAGACAACTCCAACATTTCTGCTTGAAAAGCTGTAAAATATAATCTGTTTGCGTGGGTCTGATCCTGTGAACTTCACTATATGTGTTTATATTGATGAGGAAATGAAAATCAGTCCTATTCTGTATTTGTACTACTGCTTGTTTGCTACAATAGCTTTAATGATTTCTAGAGATTAAGTATGTGTTGAAGCAGGCCCTGTAGCTTTATCTACAGCCTGGAATAGGATTATTGCCTTTTATTCAAGCCTCCTAAACAGTGTCACTCTGTTAGTAAACCATTTTTAAGTCATACTGGGACTTTGTAACCCATCAAGTGGATCTCACTAAGTGATGTGAAGTATAATTAAGTGATTGTGGCTCTTTTGGTAGGTTTGGATCAGCACACAAAACATTGGTACACCTTCTGTATCTGCAATTTGCCATTACTGTCACACAGAGAAAAAGAACCACCTCTGACTATTATGGCAACACAACAGTTCTAATCACATCCTCAGAAATGAAAAGCAAACTTCTCTTCAACTTACTTTCCATGTTTACAGGCAAACTGCTACGGCAAACAGCGTGTTTCTAACACTAGCTTACAGAGCATTATTTTGCAGTCATCTAGTTTGAAGTCAAATCTTACTAATGTGTAAAGTAATTCCTGTTGTACAGAAGTTAACCTGTTGTTTAAAATGAATGGTTTAAAAAAGTGCAAAGACAAATACATGTTGGTGTTTGTATGGGTTTATCTAGAATAAAAGCATTTGGAGGTTAGTTTGATTGTGTACTTTAAAATGGTTACAAGAAAGCAAACACAGCTGGTAACAAGGCAAGGTCATGCCAGGAATGGAGTGTGAGACACAGAGTGGCATCAGATGAGCAGTGCTGCAGCTCCAGCCCTGCAGGTCAGCACAGCACACTTTCATCAGCCTGAAATTGGGAAGAGGTACAGGAAGGTAGAATCTAACTTCTGATGATGCTGGGGAGGATAGGCACTGGCCTAAACTCCAGCAGCTGCAGAGTCTGAATGGAGGGGGATTCCCTGGGCCAGAGGATTCCCAGCTGCCTTCCCACCTGTGAGAAGCTGGAAAAGGCCAGGGACAGGCTGATTGTGCAGTGCCTGCCACACCTCCACCCAGCCTTCAGGATTTTCACTTCAACTGCACCACTTAACAGCTCTGAGGGTGATGATTCTTTTAAAAAACTAAACACATTAAAAAAGATGATAACCCAATAATCCTTCTTTCAGGAGAAGGTGCTTAAGGGACAGGAAATAAGCTTTCACACAAAAGGCCTGGGACCAACTGGGAAAGGTAGCCCACAAACCAAGTGCTGACCATCATTCCTCCTCCTGCCATTACCCTTTTTCTGCCCTCCAAGTCTTACCTGGTTTGTATGAACCTCCCCTGTGCCCTGACATCAGAGAGCACCTTGCTGACAGAGCCGCGGCTGGGGACAGAAACATGAAGCTGATGACAGCGGTTCCGTGCTGGTAGATCCTGGTGACCATCCCGTTTGGCAAAGCTGGCCTAGGCACTGAGTTACTTTGTACAAGTTCATATGTAGGAGCAGCACAAATAGCTCCTGTTACTTCCAAGAGCAACACTGTTTTCCTCAGAGAAGTTTAACAAATTCCCCAAGAATGCATAAACCCTGGTTTAGGAATGGTACTCCCTAATTTAGTTCTCCCACTGACACACTGGAAAGCACGCTCTGCTCTCCCACTGCCTCACCTCTCCTCCTCTGAGGCAGGATGGAGAGCAAAACTGGAGGCAGAAAAAGTAAAGTTCATGAGATAAGAAGAACTTACTGGAAACAGCAATGAGATAAGAAAATGATCAGTAACAGGAACTATACTAATGACAGAGGGTCGAAGGGAGGCAGACTTACACGTGGTTGCTCACTACATGGAGACTGGCATGCTACATGAGCCAAAAGGATTCCCTGACCCTGAGCCTGGCAAATGAGTAGTGTAGAATAACCCCAGCTCCCAGGCACAGCCCCCTGGTACTGCAAAAGTTAACCCTGTCCTGGCTGGAACCAAGACAAATCCTTATACTTACACACTGTGGAAAGTGAAAATTGCAGCCTCTGGAGAGAAGAATTGAGTCAATGCCGGTGTCATCCCTTTGCTATTCCTACAGTCTAACAGCAATACTCAATATTCTATTACAAGAGATTGCACAGTGTATTCTCACTGTCCCATGTTTTTGTTGCAGCACTTTGAAAACAACAAAAACAACCACAAACCAAATACAAACAAACAAAAACCTAGATAACAAAAATTCCTCCAGTTCCAGGAAGGTAATCATTATTGGATTATCAGGTAAAAAAATTTAGATAAATAATTGATCCTTCACAAATTTCTGGACTGATAATGAACTGAAAAAATTATATTCAGCCTAGAATCAATATTTTTGTTGTGGTTAGCAAATTAGAGTAGTAATAAATACAGACTTAAATTTACTTAATGCAAAGGCAATTTATTATACTAATCTCTGCTATATTATATTAAAAAACCCAATTATTGCCCATTCCCATTATAGAAATACAAGAGGCACATTGTCATGGGTAACAAATAGAAGTTTTCAGAGCTTTTAAAATTTCATTTTATCCTTTTTATCTGCATCAAAATACCAACCTAGATGTTGATTACAGCATTGTTAGTGATCAAAACTGCAACCCAGAGTAGCATACATTAACTTTCACATTGAAAGAGTAAGAGGATATCATCAAGTGTTAAAGGCATTATAAAAAATTATTTTAATTTTTATATTAAATGTCAGTTTACTTTAAACAATCCAAACCTTGTAAAACAATTTTCAAAGTTTCTTGTGCTAAGGTTATTTAATGTTTTGACTTTATGGAAAAAAACTGAAAAACAAACCTTATTGAGATGGGATCTTGGCAATAGTTCACAGAATTAGAGAATGGTTTGTGTTGGAAGGGACCAAAGATCATCTGGTCCCAGTCCCTCTGCCATGGGCAAGCACACCTTCCACTATTACAGGTTGCTCAGAGCCCCATCCAATCTGGCCTTGAACACTTCCAGGGATGGGACATCCACAGCTTCTCTGGACAACCTGTTCCAGTTCCTCACCACCTCCACAGTAAAGGATTTCTTCCTAATATTGAAACCTGCCCTTTTTCAGTTTAAAACTGTTGTCCCTTGTCCTCTGACACTCTCTGGACAAAAAATCCCCCTCAGTTTTATAGCCCCCTTTAGATACTGGAAGAATAATGTCTCCCTAAAGCCTCCCCTTCCCTGCTGGCCATGCTGCTTTTGCTGCAGCCCAGGATGTGGTTGGGCTTCTGGGCTGTGAATGCACACTGCTGGCTCATGACCAGCCCTTCATCCATGAGAACTCCACTGTCCTTCTCTGCAGGGCTGGTCTCAGTGACTTCTTTTCCCAGTCTATAGTCACATTTGGGATTTTCCCTACCCAGATGCAGCACCTTGCACTTGGACATGCTGAACTGCATAATATCCCCATGGGCCCATGTCTGGATGACAGCCCTTCCTTCTGTTGTGTCAGCAACCCTGCTGAGGCTGCACTTGACCTCGCTGCCAGACATCAATGAAGGTACTGAAGAGCATCGGTGCCAAGAGTGAGCTCTGAGGGACCCCACTCAGCACCATCCTCTACCTGGACATGGAGCCATGGGCTACAACTCTGCCTGCGTCCATCCAGCCAATTCCTTATCCACTGAATGACAATTCACCCATCAAATCCATGTCCCTTCTGTCTGGAGATCAGCCATGTCATGTGGGACTGTACCAAAGGCCTGACAGAAGTCTAAATGATCACATTTGTTGGTGATCCCCTGTCAACCATTGCTGTCACTCCATCATACAGGGCCATATTGCTCAGGCACAATTTGCCCATAGAAACAGCATGATGGCTACCTTGGCTGCCCTCCTTGTCTTTCACTTGGCTCAGCACATCTTCTAGAAGGATCTGCTCCATGATCATCACAGACACTGAGGTGAGGCACACCACTCTGTAGTTTCATGGTTCATCCTTTCTTCCCTTTTTAAAAATGGGAGCATAATTTCCCTTTTTCCAGTCACTGAGGGCATCACCTGATTGCCACGATGTCCAAACAAGCAACAACATCAGCCAGTTCCCTCGGGGTCCTGAGATGCACATCAGGTCCAACAGACTAGTGGCTATTCAGCTTCATCAAATCATCCCAAACCTGCTCTTGGCTTATAGTGGAAGGCACTTCACTTCCCCTACACATGCCCAGAGAAGCAGCACTTCAGAGAACTGGGAAGTCAAGTGGACCAGAAAAAGTCTGCAATTGAATCTCATTATTGAGCCTGTAACTGCTGCTATGCTAAATAGCATTGCACTGGTAACACAAATTCAGGGTGTAGCCTCCTCATGAATGGCAACCCTGCATATTCTTTGTATGATTCCCAGTGAGAAAAGTCCTTAGACCTGCTGGTCCTTCAATCCAGCAGTAAAACAAGTTGAGCCACAAAGGAGTAACTATGCAGAATATATTTTATGCTATTCAGGCACACACAACCATGTTTTTGGCAAAATATGAAAAGCATGTACAAAGGATAAGTTATTGAAAGCTAACAGTATAAAGAGTATGCAGATTTTATTTGGAGTCCTCACTTTGTGCTTCATTTCGCCCAGTTATCTTATTTCTTGCCAAGTCCCCACATCCCACCATTACCCGCTCTCTAGACGGTCCAAGATCTTCCAGCTGTTTTCTTTGTCTGGTTTCTAATTCTTCCAATCGCTTGCCAAGCAGGGCAAGCTCTCTTTGATGCTGCTCCTCCTTGAAATTTAAAGGAAAAAGAATGTGGCTCTATTACATTTTACACACAAGGGACCAAAATGAGCAATACATTCATTTTCTTTAAGGAAAATAAAAACTGTAAAGTCCAAAACATCCATATTTGTTAAATTTTACTCATCAATGTTTCACGGGTATTATTCTTGATGAACAGCATCAGGAAGAAATACATTTGGAGATGTTCCTCCTCTCAGATGAAGGAGCACATAAACCTGAGGTCTCATGAATCTGTAAAGTCAACCTGCTCAACCTCAGCCAGAGAGATTTTCACCCTCAGCAGCTCAGCCTAAGACTTTTAACCACACAAGAAATCAAAAGCAGCAATACTGCTTTGCAATAACAAAACCATGGTGTGAGAGCAACAGTAGCATTCCTTGCTCAGAAGGAGCCATTTGAAGCCTCTGAGGGGAAGGACAAAGTATGGAGAATTGGCTTAAAACTACCCAGTCGTTACACTCCGTAATGTTTTCCTTTGTCTTTCAAGTACTCCTTCCTATTGCAAGGAAGGGAACATCTCCAGATAACTCAAAATTTCTTACTTCTGTTCAAAGATGAAATACGCCTTCCTTCAGACTAAGGTCAGTAAAAAAGAACTATTTCAGTGGCCTCTTTTGCTGTATTATTTTCCCAGCTTGTGCTATATCCCACCTGAAGAAAGGAGAAGGACGCTGCAGGCCCAGGAGGCCCCGCAGACGATGGGGTTACACCGACTGGGTTGAGTGCGGGTATGTCAGGACTCAGAATTATAGTCCGGAATTCATTGTGCCGACGCTGCAAGTCCTTCAGCCTCTTCTGGAGGCGAGCATATTCTTCAGAGGAAACATTCTGTCTAGGAAATAACAGATGGTTTATGGCTCAAGATCTTTGTTATCCCAACACAGCAGCACGGCTCTCCACGAGTGCTCTGCTGTTTAACACCTCCAGTTTCCACCTATCCTTACTCAGAAGAACTGGAAGGTAGATCTGTGTATGTTCTTTTGCCTACACATCTGTCTAAATGCCCCTCTATATATTTAGCTATCTGCTCTATTATAGATTAGAGTTTACATAAAATAAATTAAGCTTTTATTACCATTCACAGTAGTGAGTCAGTGCAGCTACATTAATTATTAAAATCAAGCCCTCTGTAGGGGCTCAATGAAGAGGGAAAAACCAGAACTTCACCTTTCAAAGAGGATGCCATGTCTGTTTCTCTTGCAATTCTGATGTCTTGTTCACTTCCTTCTTTTAAAGGGATTCCTGCAACTGCACCTATCAGGTATTTTTTTCTCTTTTTCTTCTTGAAGAGACAGCCCTGCAACTGTCTCATAAGCTCTCAGCTGCCCATCCTAAACAGAATCTATTCAAAGAATTCTAGTGCTGTAAAGGCCATTAGACTGGACTTTGGTTACTAATATAGGTAACATGTATCTTCAAAAATACTCCATATTTGTAAGTCATACCTTGAGCATATGCAATTATTTAAGCTAAGAAAAAGCAAAGTTAATTACCTATTTAACACTTGATTTTCCTTTTCTAGTTCTTCCATCTTGGCTTCCAAAAGTTCTATTTTCTCATGCATCCTCCTTTGTTTATTGTCATTGAGAGTCTTTCTCTGTCAAACAGATATTTCAAACAGCTAAGTAATACCTTAATAGATTAGATCCTGTAAAAATTAAACCTAAACTGTATGTGGTTTCAAGCTATAAAGAAACACTTTGTGGGAGTTTCTTTCTTTAAGAAGAGATGCTGGGATGTTTGAAGGTGCTTAGAATGCCATGTTGGGAAGCAGAAGAGATGGAAAATGATTCGTTGATGGGAATGAAAGAGGCACAACTGCCAGTCAGTTGTTGGTCAGTGACCAGCTGTACTAACAAACATTAGCAGTATCTGAGAATCACAATGGTCATCCTTTAAATGGACACATAGAAATGAGCATAAGCATAACCAAAAAAGTATGCTTCCTGTTTTTGGTTTTTGGTTTGGTTTTTGTTAGGTTTTTTTGTTGTTTGGTTTTTATGGCTTTTTTTCCCATATTGATCTTAACTATCTATGACCTTAAAAGACACTGGTAGGTTTCATAACCTATGTTCAATGTATAACAGCACTAATTAATCTTGAGGTTTTACCTGCCTTACCTTCCAAACTATTTCTTAAAAAGTAAGCTTAGGAGAAGAAATAAAATTTTAACATTCCATCAAGGAAAAGTAGAACATCATTTGTCTAGTATCTAGTATCATCATCCTCTCTCATCAAGGGGTTCACCTCTTAATCAATGCACACGTATGTGCAAAGAAAGCCTCACAAAATCTTTGATGGCATTATAACAAAGTTGTTGGCTGTAATATTATTTTGCATGTCATTCAACCTATTTCTATGCTAATCTTGAAGAACCCAAGCTATTTAGTTATTATATACAGTAGATTGCAAATAAACTCTTAACATTGAAACCATTCTAGCTGGCCAACATAAAGCTGAACTTTACCCAGGGTGGATCATTCAAAAAGGAAGAGACAACATGCCTTTTTCTGAGCAACAGCAGCTCGACATAGCTTGTTCTTCATTTGCTTGTATTTCTCTTCATACTCTGTGACACGCTGTGTAAGCACATGCTTCTCCTGCAGCCATTCCATACGCTGGTATTCTGAAGTCCTTTGGAAAAATCAGGGCAAAAAAATCAAGAGGTCATACAATGCAGCACATTCAGTTAATACCTTAAGGCTCTTAAAACAGATGCATCTTTTCACAACTCATATACTTAAAGGATCTGATGTAAATTTTATTATGTTAACAATCTAATTGTGACTATGACATTTGAACCTGGGCATTATCCTAGGATTTCTTTAACTATCAAATTTTGAAAACTGATTCCAAGAAGCTGATTTGTGGTGTCTTCTTGGATCAGCATGCTGCCAAACCACCCAGACAAAATTCCTCAATTCAGGTCAAACCATCATAGTAGAACACAAGAGCAATGCCTATTCCAAACATCAGTTGTCAGAACTGTTGACAACTACCTTCTCTATTTAGGAGAGCAGGGTGCTGCCCTATGGGGTCTACTAAATCTTCATAACAGACTTGCTTAGGACATGTTCCCAACCAGAACAAACACCAGCTCAACAAGAAGCTCCCACTAATACGGTTTCTAGACAACATTCCAGCTGAACACACACACCACCAAAGACATATGTTATCTGTTTAGACTTTTGCATGGTTACAACACACTAAAATTAGGCTGTGTTCTCTAGCAGTGTATAGGAAAGGAGCCATTTCTCCGTGCTGCCTTGTTTGTTTGGGCTGCCTGCATTGCGAGTCAAAGCAGGCAAGAACTAATGGAATATTTAATTACATTACTGTTAAAAATTAAAATCAAATGGTGAGATTCTATCTAGCAGATTTTAAGACGACCAAGGCCTGGTATTAGTGCATCCACCACTACTCCAGTCCCAGGCAGATGCATTTTCCCTGCAGGGACTCTGAATGCATCTCCATAAATTTCTCACCAAACCACCTCTCCCTTCCCTGTCCGGTTTATCTCGGCTGTTTGAGGGGCCTGGAAGGCCCGGGGTGGCCTTGGGGCAGCCCGCGTATCGAAGGACGAGAAGAGGCTTCAGTTCTTCTTTCTGGTTTTATGTTTATTAATTGTTTATCTTAAAGATGTTCTTTCAGCCGAACAAAGATCCGCTCAGCAGTCAGCCATGGGCACACTGTGCCGTCCCCCGGACCGCCACGTATCTTTATACCCCTAGTTACGTATACAATATTTATCATTTTTCCCCAATACCATNCTGACAGAAGTCTAAATGATCACATTTGTTGGTGATCCCCTGTCAACCATTGCTGTCACTCCATCATACAGGGCCATATTGCTCAGGCACAATTTGCCCATAGAAACAGCATGATGGCTACCTTGGCTGCCCTCCTTGTCTTTCACTTGGCTCAGCACATCTTCTAGAAGGATCTGCTCCATGATCATCACAGACACTGAGGTGAGGCACACCACTCTGTAGTTTCATGGTTCATCCTTTCTTCCCTTTTTAAAAATGGGAGCATAATTTCCCTTTTTCCAGTCACTGAGGGCATCACCTGATTGCCACGATGTCCAAACAAGCAACAACATCAGCCAGTTCCCTCGGGGTCCTGAGATGCACATCAGGTCCAACAGACTAGTGGCTATTCAGCTTCATCAAATCATCCCAAACCTGCTCTTGGCTTATAGTGGAAGGCACTTCACTTCCCCTACACATGCCCAGAGAAGCAGCACTTCAGAGAACTGGGAAGTCAAGTGGACCAGAAAAAGTCTGCAATTGAATCTCATTATTGAGCCTGTAACTGCTGCTATGCTAAATAGCATTGCACTGGTAACACAAATTCAGGGTGTAGCCTCCTCATGAATGGCAACCCTGCATATTCTTTGTATGATTCCCAGTGAGAAAAGTCCTTAGACCTGCTGGTCCTTCAATCCAGCAGTAAAACAAGTTGAGCCACAAAGGAGTAACTATGCAGAATATATTTTATGCTATTCAGGCACACACAACCATGTTTTTGGCAAAATATGAAAAGCATGTACAAAGGATAAGTTATTGAAAGCTAACAGTATAAAGAGTATGCAGATTTTATTTGGAGTCCTCACTTTGTGCTTCATTTCGCCCAGTTATCTTATTTCTTGCCAAGTCCCCACATCCCACCATTACCCGCTCTCTAGACGGTCCAAGATCTTCCAGCTGTTTTCTTTGTCTGGTTTCTAATTCTTCCAATCGCTTGCCAAGCAGGGCAAGCTCTCTTTGATGCTGCTCCTCCTTGAAATTTAAAGGAAAAAGAATGTGGCTCTATTACATTTTACACACAAGGGACCAAAATGAGCAATACATTCATTTTCTTTAAGGAAAATAAAAACTGTAAAGTCCAAAACATCCATATTTGTTAAATTTTACTCATCAATGTTTCACGGGTATTATTCTTGATGAACAGCATCAGGAAGAAATACATTTGGAGATGTTCCTCCTCTCAGATGAAGGAGCACATAAACCTGAGGTCTCATGAATCTGTAAAGTCAACCTGCTCAACCTCAGCCAGAGAGATTTTCACCCTCAGCAGCTCAGCCTAAGACTTTTAACCACACAAGAAATCAAAAGCAGCAATACTGCTTTGCAATAACAAAACCATGGTGTGAGAGCAACAGTAGCATTCCTTGCTCAGAAGGAGCCATTTGAAGCCTCTGAGGGGAAGGACAAAGTATGGAGAATTGGCTTAAAACTACCCAGTCGTTACACTCCGTAATGTTTTCCTTTGTCTTTCAAGTACTCCTTCCTATTGCAAGGAAGGGAACATCTCCAGATAACTCAAAATTTCTTACTTCTGTTCAAAGATGAAATACGCCTTCCTTCAGACTAAGGTCAGTAAAAAAGAACTATTTCAGTGGCCTCTTTTGCTGTATTATTTTCCCAGCTTGTGCTATATCCCACCTGAAGAAAGGAGAAGGACGCTGCAGGCCCAGGAGGCCCCGCAGACGATGGGGTTACACCGACTGGGTTGAGTGCGGGTATGTCAGGACTCAGAATTATAGTCCGGAATTCATTGTGCCGACGCTGCAAGTCCTTCAGCCTCTTCTGGAGGCGAGCATATTCTTCAGAGGAAACATTCTGTCTAGGAAATAACAGATGGTTTATGGCTCAAGATCTTTGTTATCCCAACACAGCAGCACGGCTCTCCACGAGTGCTCTGCTGTTTAACACCTCCAGTTTCCACCTATCCTTACTCAGAAGAACTGGAAGGTAGATCTGTGTATGTTCTTTTGCCTACACATCTGTCTAAATGCCCCTCTATATATTTAGCTATCTGCTCTATTATAGATTAGAGTTTACATAAAATAAATTAAGCTTTTATTACCATTCACAGTAGTGAGTCAGTGCAGCTACATTAATTATTAAAATCAAGCCCTCTGTAGGGGCTCAATGAAGAGGGAAAAACCAGAACTTCACCTTTCAAAGAGGATGCCATGTCTGTTTCTCTTGCAATTCTGATGTCTTGTTCACTTCCTTCTTTTAAAGGGATTCCTGCAACTGCACCTATCAGGTATTTTTTTCTCTTTTTCTTCTTGAAGAGACAGCCCTGCAACTGTCTCATAAGCTCTCAGCTGCCCATCCTAAACAGAATCTATTCAAAGAATTCTAGTGCTGTAAAGGCCATTAGACTGGACTTTGGTTACTAATATAGGTAACATGTATCTTCAAAAATACTCCATATTTGTAAGTCATACCTTGAGCATATGCAATTATTTAAGCTAAGAAAAAGCAAAGTTAATTACCTATTTAACACTTGATTTTCCTTTTCTAGTTCTTCCATCTTGGCTTCCAAAAGTTCTATTTTCTCATGCATCCTCCTTTGTTTATTGTCATTGAGAGTCTTTCTCTGTCAAACAGATATTTCAAACAGCTAAGTAATACCTTAATAGATTAGATCCTGTAAAAATTAAACCTAAACTGTATGTGGTTTCAAGCTATAAAGAAACACTTTGTGGGAGTTTCTTTCTTTAAGAAGAGATGCTGGGATGTTTGAAGGTGCTTAGAATGCCATGTTGGGAAGCAGAAGAGATGGAAAATGATTCGTTGATGGGAATGAAAGAGGCACAACTGCCAGTCAGTTGTTGGTCAGTGACCAGCTGTACTAACAAACATTAGCAGTATCTGAGAATCACAATGGTCATCCTTTAAATGGACACATAGAAATGAGCATAAGCATAACCAAAAAAGTATGCTTCCTGTTTTTGGTTTTTGGTTTGGTTTTTGTTAGGTTTTTTTGTTGTTTGGTTTTTATGGCTTTTTTTCCCATATTGATCTTAACTATCTATGACCTTAAAAGACACTGGTAGGTTTCATAACCTATGTTCAATGTATAACAGCACTAATTAATCTTGAGGTTTTACCTGCCTTACCTTCCAAACTATTTCTTAAAAAGTAAGCTTAGGAGAAGAAATAAAATTTTAACATTCCATCAAGGAAAAGTAGAACATCATTTGTCTAGTATCTAGTATCATCATCCTCTCTCATCAAGGGGTTCACCTCTTAATCAATGCACACGTATGTGCAAAGAAAGCCTCACAAAATCTTTGATGGCATTATAACAAAGTTGTTGGCTGTAATATTATTTTGCATGTCATTCAACCTATTTCTATGCTAATCTTGAAGAACCCAAGCTATTTAGTTATTATATACAGTAGATTGCAAATAAACTCTTAACATTGAAACCATTCTAGCTGGCCAACATAAAGCTGAACTTTACCCAGGGTGGATCATTCAAAAAGGAAGAGACAACATGCCTTTTTCTGAGCAACAGCAGCTCGACATAGCTTGTTCTTCATTTGCTTGTATTTCTCTTCATACTCTGTGACACGCTGTGTAAGCACATGCTTCTCCTGCAGCCATTCCATACGCTGGTATTCTGAAGTCCTTTGGAAAAATCAGGGCAAAAAAATCAAGAGGTCATACAATGCAGCACATTCAGTTAATACCTTAAGGCTCTTAAAACAGATGCATCTTTTCACAACTCATATACTTAAAGGATCTGATGTAAATTTTATTATGTTAACAATCTAATTGTGACTATGACATTTGAACCTGGGCATTATCCTAGGATTTCTTTAACTATCAAATTTTGAAAACTGATTCCAAGAAGCTGATTTGTGGTGTCTTCTTGGATCAGCATGCTGCCAAACCACCCAGACAAAATTCCTCAATTCAGGTCAAACCATCATAGTAGAACACAAGAGCAATGCCTATTCCAAACATCAGTTGTCAGAACTGTTGACAACTACCTTCTCTATTTAGGAGAGCAGGGTGCTGCCCTATGGGGTCTACTAAATCTTCATAACAGACTTGCTTAGGACATGTTCCCAACCAGAACAAACACCAGCTCAACAAGAAGCTCCCACTAATACGGTTTCTAGACAACATTCCAGCTGAACACACACACCACCAAAGACATATGTTATCTGTTTAGACTTTTGCATGGTTACAACACACTAAAATTAGGCTGTGTTCTCTAGCAGTGTATAGGAAAGGAGCCATTTCTCCGTGCTGCCTTGTTTGTTTGGGCTGCCTGCATTGCGAGTCAAAGCAGGCAAGAACTAATGGAATATTTAATTACATTACTGTTAAAAATTAAAATCAAATGGTGAGATTCTATCTAGCAGATTTTAAGACGACCAAGGCCTGGTATTAGTGCATCCACCACTACTCCAGTCCCAGGCAGATGCATTTTCCCTGCAGGGACTCTGAATGCATCTCCATAAATTTCTCACCAAACCACCTCTCCCTTCCCCACAGTAGAAGTACTGGGCATCATCCACTCTCACTTGGGAAACAGAGTCCTGGCCCCTGTGTCACCTGTCATGGCTCTTCTAGTTCGTGCAGCATGGCTTGTACCTCACTCTGGACTGCAAATAACTACTAGCACCCAGGAACCAAAGCACTTTAGATGAGCACTGCTTAGAAGTAAAAGGATTTCAGCTGAAACAATGGTTAAAATGCTTGAGTTAGGTGTGAGGGTTTCTAGAGGTGTTTTGTGTTTTGGTTTTTGTTGTTGTTTGGTTTAAATGCCACTAACATTGTTCCCAAAATGCTAAACAAGTCCCTGTTTGAGCTCATCTCTGATCTGTATCCGGCTCATAGTTTGCCTTCAGCTTTTTTTCTCCTTTCACATTTTCATTTCCAAGCTTAAGATTGACACAGCCATTTATGCAGCAGCTTTGCCTGCTTATGCTCAATGCTCAACTGGCACTATTTATCTGGAACTTTTTATCTTGTTGTCTCATCTTTTGGTCCCTATTTCACTTCCTGTTGCTTTGGTGCAACTTAACTCTTTGGTGTTCAAGCTCATAAGAATTTACTGAACTGAGAAAGGAGGTTCTATCACTCACGGATTCATAAAAACAATGGGAACGTGACCCAAGGCTCCCAGGTTAGCAATGGCACAGGCCTGCAGGAATTACATGCAGGCTACAAAGCTGCTTCATTTCTGCAGTACCAACCTTAGTGCATCTCTCAGTACCTACATACTTGTATACAATGACCTCTGAGGACTGACAAGTTCCTTCCAGTGCCTTCCCAGGAAAAACTAGTCCTGACTGTTTTGTGATCCATAAATATGTAAATGACAATGACAGCCTCATTCAAGTAACAGCAATGATCTCACTCAACATGTGAGTACACCTCCCTAAAGCAAACATCCAAATATTTAATGTGCTTGTGGCATACTCTGCCATCCAAATGCAATAATATCTTCAAATGTTGAATTGAAAAGCACTACCTAAACTAATGACAACATAGCAATTGCAGCACCAATTAATAGGAAAAGAGATTTTAAAACAAAAGTTACATAATATCCTTTGGAAATGTTGTATTTAATCTGGGACACCAACTTTTTGAAGCACCCACCACACAATAATCCAGTACTAGTTTGACAAATATTGGGTTACTAAACTAATAAATTCTGAAAAACCATTTCAGACTGACAAACTGATCTTTAAATTCCAGGAAGGTGTTCATTTCTGTATGGAATCTGAATAAAATTTGGCTTCCTTCATCATTTATTGTCATACTTTGTTGACATGCAGTCAAGCTTGTGCAAAAAAAAGGAAAGTGATTATTTTTAATTTTGATGAGAGGAACTAGAAGATATTTTATAAGCTTTTACTTCATATCAGCTAAAAGTAGCTAGTGGGAAAGGGAAAGAAGTATTCACACATATACTGACTGGGACTGTGGAACCTTATCATGCATAATACAATGTTTGAATGCTTTTTTCACACATACAGCTTAAACACTCTTAAAAGAACTCTCTGAAACTCTAGATACATTTATACCTATAGAAGTTTGACGCCCTCTTCAGTCAAGTAGAATTTCAATTTATGCAATAAGTGTATCTCATTAATCAATAATTAATTTTAACAGATACAAATGGAAACCAATGGAAACAAACTCCTCTGTTTTTAAAGCTGACATGAGGAAAGCTTTTATACATGCTATGCCCACAGAATGTACAGCCATTTTTTACAACTGTTCAATATTTCCTGACCATTTTAACTTTCTGACTTTATTCAGAATCTACAATCCACAGTTAAGTAATCCATATGAGAAGAACACAAGCAGCATGAAAAATAAAGCCAAAAGAAAAAAATTACTTCTCTGTTTCCAGTTGAGCTTTCTCTGCCTGAGCCCTTGCATGTTGACATTCTTGTTTCAATCTCTCTATTATTTCCTTCAACTTTTGATTAGATTCCAGCAAATCTTTTTCTGATTGAGAAAGTGAGGCAAGCTGGAGTTGGATATCATTTATTTGCTGCCAAAACAAAAAAGAATTTTTCTATTTCAGAAGATATGCAAATAACCAGCAACTGATTTTGAGATACTGAGACAATGCAAAATGGAGACACCAACTAGCTTTAGCTTTTCATTAGCCTTTTTTACTCGTTTCTTTTCTCTTTACTCAACACTTTCTCCAGAAGCTTTACAGTAAATCACTACAAGATAAAGGGTTTCTGTTGTAGTTAAAATGAGAAAGATCAGCAGGAAGCTTCTGCCACTGAAGTGTCCCCCAGAACTTCAGAAATCCAACACTTCAGCCCCAGGCCTGAACAGAACTTGAGGACCACGAAATATTTAGCAGCAGAGCTGTGGAGCTTTCCAGCCTCTTCTGTTCCATACCATACTGAGTGTTACAGCCAACAGGGACTGTACCAACCAGTTCACAAAACAAGGAAGCACTGAAAAGTCCAACCTCTGCAGCCAGCATACACAAATGATCATTTCCCTTTCCTTTTCCTCCCCTCACATGGACACTTAGATCCCCCAATTTCTGATTTTGGGAGGAAAAAATAAGTGTCTCAAACTTCAAGTGCACACAGCATGCAGAGTAGTTTGATGCACAGCTATTGTTATTACCTACTAAATAACATCACAGGCAAGCGGGAGTTAAAAAAATATAGGTTTGCTTTTCAACACTGCCATCAATTGACTATGCAATAGAAATATACCTCTTTACACTAGTTTGTTCATTTATGAAACATCTGTTAAACACTTGAAGAACCTCAGATGAGAGATGCAGTGTAAATGCAAAGCATTACCTAGAAACAACTTATAAGTCTCCATGGCAACTGAATCTCCAGTTAAATAGTGCATAACCATATTCAATATACCAGTCTATAAACATTCAGATTTGAAATCCCTGTTACCCACAAAACACATGAAGCAAAAAACTGTAATCCATTTATAGAGGTCCAGGAAAGCACAACTGATTTCTGAACACTTCTCCTTTAAATATCTAAAGTACCCATTTCATCCCTCCAGGGGAAAAAAAAAAGCCTTAAAAATTCAATCTAATCTTCAAACGCAGGACATGGTAACTACAGGAAAGAATGTATTTCTTTATAAAACATTATAATGCAATAAAACCTTACCTGTTTCAGATCAGCATTTTCACATTTCTTTTCTTCCAGCTCTTTTGTCTGCATAGCTTGCTGTTGAATTTTTAATCTAAAATTGTGTAAGACATCCTTATTTTTATCTAATCAAAATTCCAATGCTATAAATTAGGACAAATCAGCCTGACAAATAAATAGCATTATTTGAAAGGCTAATAAATATTAAACTAAAAAAGCACTGAAAATATATTTCTATTAATTCTTGGAATTCACATAGGAATAAGACTTTTGGAGTATGATTAATTTTATCATGCTAACCTTCAACTATAGTAAGCTAAGTAAACTCCCAGCCATAATAACCAACTCAGAGATATCATATCAGGTCTCAGATTGCCAATTTCTGCTATGGTGCCATTGTGGAATGAGAAATTATTTACTCTAACACTGCGGCTATGTCAGCAGCCAGCACTAAACTAGTTTTAACAAATATGTATTGCCAAATTATTACTTCAAAAGGGTCATTGAAAATAACACTTAAAGGTTTGGACTAAAAGGGTCACCATCTCAAACAGTTAATTTTTAATTCTGCACTCTTTTTTACGTAGTGCAAAAGATAATCCTGTTTAATCTACACCAGTGAACACTTCATAATGAAGACTTCTGTCTCTATGAATAGTAAGCTTTCATACTGTCTACTGTAAAGACATTAAGGAGGGAAAATGAGAAATCTGTGCTAAGATTAGATTAGAAAAGTCACATTACCGCAAACGCTGAAGTTCCTTTTTGCTAGATTCTTCTGCCATCTGCACAGCACGTAGTTTCTCTTCATACTGATCCTTTTCAGATTGCCTCCAAGAATCTTGTTCCAGTTTCATCTTTTCTAGATCAGCTAGTCTGTTTTCGAGTTCTAACCTAAAACATTATTCAACATACACACAAGAATCACTAGAAAATGTCAGAAGTGTTTAGTTAAGAGTGATATTTTTAAAAGTATCACAAAACCATCCTCTTTTAGAAACTGAGGAGGCAATCAGTAGACATACTTTTCATTCTGTAAGGCTGCAATATTGTCAAAAACTTCCTCTTTGGCAGCTTGCACTTTACGAATTAGCTCCCGATCCTTTTCCACTAAAAGCACTTTATGTCGCTCAACAGCTGCAGTAAGAATTTCCTTGTCAGACAGCAATCCTGCATTATACATTAAAAAAGTTAAACATGTCATTATTGGTAAGAACCTCCTAGGAACCTATATTCAAATAACTTTATAAATTCACAAAAGGGAACTAAAAATCTCAATTCAAATGACAGAATTAATGGGGGAAGGAGAAAAAAGCAAAACACAAGAAAACAAGAAGAGACCTTTCTAAGTATAACAGTTATATTTCCAAAACTTTTGAAAAGTAACCATTACACTGGAATAACAGTCTATGAGAGTTTCTTACTTTAATAAATGATAGTAATTAAACAGTTAATATTATTACAGATTTAAACTCCACAGCAATTTATACAAAGCATTTGTACCTGTTCCATAACAGCTATGCAAAGGTCAAGCAAGAAAATTTTCATTTTCGGAAAAAGCTTACAGTAAACAGAAACTGGTTGTCATTGAAACCAGTAACTGGGCAACAACAAATCTCAATTTTAATCCACCTATATTACCAAATGAGACATTTCTAGAACCATGACTTCATAGGCAGGGACAAATGATACAAACTAAAATCTTGTAACTGACACCTGTATTCACTGGCAAATAAGCCAACATGCTCTAACAGTGACTCCTGGTTATTCAGCTAATTCAGCAATGCAAATGGAATTCCACAGTAAGTTCAGGTGAATTTAAATCTTGTCTGTATTCAGTTTCATATTTCACAGAGCCAACATTTCTAGTCTGCAATACACTGTAAGCATATTGTCAATACAGAAAACACCACTTTTTCATTGTCTTAGCGAACTTACTATTAAAGCAAGTGAACAGAAACAACTATTTCAGGAACACAAATGTACTGTTTTGGGGCTATGGCAAATCAATGAGGACAGTTCTCTTTGAAACGGTGTAATTGTGTAGTTGTGTGATTTAAACACAACTAGTACTAGAAAGCTTTGGCCTTTTCACTCTAGGAAGCTATTTCAAGTTGCCTAGATACTCAGCTGCATCAGGTAGCTTACAGCAATGCCTGTTCCCTTCAGAGAATGAGCTAGGTGCTGTATTTTGTTTCATGTGGCAGCCTTACAGAATTGGTATCAATTCCACAGACACAGAATCAAAAAACCCAACCACTGAAGCTCTGTGGCACGATACGGTTTCAAGCAGAGTATGAAAGACTCGAGAATTTACCAATAATAGAAAAAAAATAACCATATGAAGTACATAATTTGAAACAGATCATGCTCAAATTGTGTCACAAATGCACTAATTTACATAAATGAAAAACTGCTCTCAATTGTTCTCTCCCTGGTAGAGCAAGTGAAACAACACAATTATTTCAAATACCAAATGAATTGTCAGATCTATCACCTAGACCAGAAGTAGAAGCTGAAGACTGCTGGGGAGCATTCAGACAAAAAAAACAGTTGTATTATTCTAACAGAAGTAAATAGATGAAATAATTACAAAATAATTTCATACTTTACCATCCATTTCACTTTGAATCTTGTTTCTCTCTCTTTCTACTTCACTCTTTGTTCTTGCTGCCTCCAGTTTGACATTTGTTACCTCCAACTTATGTGAATGTTTAAGTTCTTTTACCTATGAGTTAGTAAAAACCAATGTCAAATTAACTATAATAAATTTATGTATATTTACTTTACTTCTGACTAAAGATACCTCAGAATCAAGCTAAAATAAAATGAAATTGAATCTCCACAAGTAAATCAAAACAGTGATATCCAAAGCCAGAATATCAACTACTTCCCCAAGTAACTTCCATTTGGTAAGTACTTATAGTCCCCCTGGCCTCCTGGAGTGCTACTCAATTTCTCAAAATCCAGGTCTGCATAGTCTTGAAGTGCATTTTAAATCAAATACTGCTCTAAAGACAAATGGCCTCATAAAAGTAGGAGCCTTAAGAACATCAAATCAATGAAAATTACTGCTTGCATGGAAACTTTCTATAGTTTAGGCATTTGAACGCAGTAATTACACGGTCAATGCGAATTAAATATCTGGAGAAAAGCACTTATAATGAAAATCCATTCACAATGACAAATGTAATTACAACCTGCTTGCATATACAAGTGGCAAAAGGTTAAGAATGACAAGTAGCTTATTAAGTAACTACATGGAAGATTTAGTTGCTTATATATCAAGTTGATAACATTCAGGGCAACTTGAAAAGATTTAAGGTGGCTTTTTTAAGGCAGAAAATCAAGAGGACAAACAGGCACCTGTGCTCAGGAATAGGTTTGAGTGGGAGCAGAAGCAGGTAGAGGTTACTATAACAAAGCTTTAATTTTCCTCCCTTTGAGAAACATGACTGTAATATTTTATTTTCTCCTGCTTCTGGAGGGGAGCAGAGAAGACCAGTTGATACAAAAAATAAAGACTGTAACAATATTCTATATATTCTGGGAAATGACTGAAAAATCTTTACCAGAAGTTTTCCCTTCCTATTTAGCATTCATGGGGACCAAGTTGGGTATATTACATAAAGAGGCTTTAAATAGTAGTATAGCTACACCTTATTCCTATGGTAAATTAAAACTTTTTTTAATGAATGACCAAAATTAAATACTTAGCACTCAAATATGCACTGTAAAAAGATCTCAAAGAAAAAAAAAAAGGAAAAGCATACAATCATAAAATGAAACCTCTAAGATTTGGTGCCAACACAAAAAAGTCACTCAAATATGTTTTAAGACAATGGTCAACTTAAAATGCTGTGATGCAATTCTGTACTGAAATGTTTCTGTACAAGCTATGCTGGCATTAACCAAAGAAAAAAGCTATGCTAACGTGATTCCTCTGCTTCTAATCTAACCTAAATCTCCACAAGTAACTCCAATGCAGCTTGCTTCCTGTAGCTAACACAGCCCATTCAGAGGATAGTTTTTAAGACCTCCAGAAAAAAAAAAAAAAAAGATAGAAAGATCAGTTTTAGGCTGACTGTTTTCATGAACATTGAAAACATGAATATAAAGATACCACTTCACAAGTCTTGTTCTGTTCAGGAAAAAGATCTAGAAGAAGGAATAGTAACAACATAACCTCAATCTTTAGAGAGACTTTCAGGTATGACATATCTCCTGTAAAGTCATATATTCTTTATCTTTCAACTGGAATTGAGGGAAAAATTCCATATCTATTTTAAGTCACAGCAGATGACATTGTAACTTTTAGTCTAAAATAGAAGCAGAAAAACATAAAAGGGTGTGAAAAATATATTTTAGACACCATAAAAGTACTTACTTGAGCAGCTAAGGAATTGACTTCTCGTTCAGCTTTGTGGAGTTTGCTAGTTAAGAGAATGTTTTGCTCATGACTCGTCTGCAGTTCTTTCTCAATGCGATCAACCTGTAGTTCAGCAGACTTCTTTTCTGCCTTGAATGAAGGAAGTATTTTTAGGATTTTTGGAGCTGGGTTGCTTCTTGTTACTCATTTGAAACCTTTGGTTGATCTGGGCTTTCAGATATTACTGTCTCATTATAATATATAGTATTACATATAAATATTCAACTTTGTTCTACCATATATTCCAACACAACAAGGGTCTTGAATTTTAGTGGAAAGTCACAACTATTTTTACTAACACCTCCTACACAGAATCACTCCCATTTTCAATCCTCCTTGATAAGGAGTGATGTAATCTGATTTACTTAGGAGGCAGCAGGTGTGCCCACCAGTAAATTACTGGGCTATAAACAGTGTAATTACAATTAGTGTTCATAAAGTGTAATATGCTGGCCTATGCAGTTATACTGATGGAAAAATTAACATCCTGGAGAGGAAATAAAATGCAATTTCTGCATTATAGACTCTGATCTTTACAAGACAAGACCCTGATCTTTAGTGAACCTCAAAAAGGTAATCTAATACATGATTTCACCTTTCTTTTTCTAAACACTTCTGCTTTCAGCAGGGCTCTCTTTAAAGCTGTCTAAGAAGATTACAGCACTTTTTAAGTTGAGATCAGAGCATTTTGTAACTGAAGTATACAGCACTGATAATAGTAAAAATAAAAAGAACCATCTATCTGCATGCTGCAACTGTGCAAAAAATCTAGGTGAAGAGGCTCACTGCCTAGAGAGGTAGCAAGGACTGACAGAAGGTCTGGAGGAATACAGTAGAATCCTGGTAAAAGTGCAACAGTCCAGAAATACCAAGGAGAGCAACAGCAGAGTAATAAACAACTGCAGTAATGTGGTGGACAAAGAAGAGGCATAGGACAATGACAGATGATGAAGGGACTAAAGAGGGGAGCATCATGTGACATTCTTGAAAAGAATAAAGAATTTACTGCAGCAGACTATTAACATATTGGTTTCTAAGTCCAGCAAAGTGGCAAGGGTTGACATGACCCTCTTACTGACTACAAATATGGATATGATTCGCTTGTTTTGAAAGGATAATCATTCAGCATAGTCTCTCAGTTGAGAGACTTCCCAAAGTTGAACTGGCAGTGCATGACTCCCAGTCAACTACAATTTGACTTTAAATCTGAAATGTAGAAATTCAAATTGTGGAGTCAATGGCAAAATTATCAGTGATTTCTGTGACAGTTCTGTCAGGCCAAGTGCTATTCTTACTGCACTCTACAGGGAGGCAAAATAAGAACAGAAAATCTTACCTCTAGAGATCGAATCATGGTCTGCATGTCAGCTAACTGTCGTGCTTGTACTCTTTGAACATTTTCTGCTTGCACAACACTGTTGTGTCTTTCTGCTCTTAGTTCTTCGACTTCTGCTTCTAAGGCTTTTAATTTCTGACACAGTTGTGCCTTTTCTCTGGAAAGTGCCTCCACACGTTTACTGTCCCTTGTGGGATCAATGCTAAGCAGCTGATTATGGAGTTCTTCCTTATCTTTATCCAGTCTTGCAATCTGATAGTTGTTAATCAGAAAAATAAAAGTTCTTACATTGGTTAGATGTCAGGCAGCAATAATTACAGTAGTTAACAATTCAGAAAAGAGTAGCAGAGGACATTTAAACATTCATTTGCTTAGAGTAGGAAAGTCAAAGCAAGACCACCTGAATGCCTGTTGTTAGCGTGGTCTGTTTGAGCACACTACAGAGTGCAACACTGGTTGATGTCCTCATTAGCAAGCTGGATGATGGCATGGAGTCACTTCCAGCAAGCTTGAGTTTGACACCAAACTGGGGGGAAATGGTCAATCTGTTGGAAGGCAAAACTGCTATCCAGAAGAATCTGGACAAGCTGAAGGAATGGACAGAACTGGATCCTCTTCAATAAGAGGAGCAAGACACACATCTGAGATGGAGGAATCCAATGCAACAGTACAGGCCCATAGCAAGGCGAGGAAGCATCTCCATGGAAAAGGATCCGGGGGTCCTAGCGGACAACAAGCTAAAGGTCAGTCAGCAGAGCACCCAATCCAATCCTGGCAGATTGGCAGAGGGATAGCTAGCAGATCCAGGGAAGTGATCCTTTGTCCCCTTTCCAGGACGGGTAAAGCTGTACCTGGAGTTTGTGTCAAGTCCAGATGGCCACTAAGGTGTTCAGAGGGTTGGGGAAAATGACATATACGGACAAGCTGAGGGAACTAAGCCTCAGTTCAGAGAAGATGCACAATGATGGGAAGAGAGGCAACAGGCACAATTCGGAACAAGTGAAGTTCCAACTACGTATTGTGAAAAAAGTTTACCATGAAGATGGTTAAATACTGAAAGAGTCTGCCCAGAAAAATAATGGAATCCCCATCCTTGCAGATGTTCAAGACTTGGCTGGACATGGACCTGAGCAATCTGATCTCATTACACTTCAATATTTTAAACAAGATTTTGGAGTATAAAGAGTTTCTTCCAACTTCTTATGATTCCTCTATTTTATAATTACAACAGAACTCAAATCTGCTAATAACTCCAGACAGCCAACATGACTGGGCCCTGACAGACTAGAAACCAACAAACAAACAAACAAACAAAAAACCCAAACCAAAACCCAATAACAACAAAAACAAAAACCCCAACTCTCTCTTACAAAGTAGTACAAAAGGTACAAGCCAATCTGGAGACTGTAATTAACAAACAAATTCAGAGATTGTTACACTTCAAAATAAGTTACATGGACTGAATATAACAGCAGGACCAAAAGAGTAAGAAAGAAAGGTATGTAAGAATTCTCTCCATATTTGGAGATTAGTCCAAACTCTGATCTGCAGCAGTCCTTTTAAAAGTTTCACCAGTGTTCTCTATGAACAAACCTGATTTCTGCAGCAAAAGCCCTCCAAATGCCTTTTATGAGGAGATTCAATTGCATTATATGCCCAAGCCATCATTTAAGAATCAGGATGTTTTTATAGCCTCCTTGTGCAAAATGACATGGAATGTTATAAAACCTTTGAGAGAAACCAGATCACACTGTGCCCTGGGCTCAAGGTAGTTGCATTCTGTGTAAGTGTGCTAATTAGCTGCAGGACTAGCAAAAACTCAACAAGCCCATGAGAGAGGCAGGCTGTAAAGCAGCATGTGGGTTTAGCTCCAGGAAGGACAACTGTTCTGTTTTTAATGCACTACATTTGCAAACTTGGATTGATTTTGCAAGTGATGATTGCTTTGATTTTTGTCTGATGTTCAGAGTAATACATTCAAATCTGGCATCCTAGAATATATGCTTCCAGACAAATACTTAAATGGATATGCAAATGACATCTGCAACTCATTTACAATGATGTATCTATTTAAAACATAAATAAGCTGACAATTTATTTAGCTACATACACTTTTGAAAGTCCAAAGAAATGAAAAAATGGTTTCTTCAGGAGCTAATACAAACGAAATGAAGTTATCCAAGTTTTCAGTATCCTTTTGATAATCACTATTTTGATCCAAACTAACATCATGGTAAGTACATTGCAAAACATACCCTTATCTGCTATTAACAATATATCTTCCTTGATAAGTTGCCACATAAGTAATTTAAAGCCTAAACTTCCATTGGTCAGTCAGATAATTAATTTCAAATTAGCATCATGTCACAAATCACAAATGTGATTAAAAACAGCTTTAAGCAAACGTCATTTACCAGAAAGCAAGTTATTCTTACTTTTAATAGCACAGATATTGCAACCCATCACTGAACAAATCTATAGAGACAGCCTTAGGCTAAGTCACAGAAGTGCTTCAAGAACGAAGAGAATAGAAACAAACATGAAATGCAGTCAAACTGACAACCCTTCAAGCACCAACAGTTCCACAATGTTCAAGCAGCTTTGTCAGAGATACTTTCTAAGCTACTAAAATATTCTACATACCTCAGTCTCATATTTTATTTTCTTCTCTTCTAAAATATGTGCATGTTCTTCCTTTTGATGCTCAAACTCTGATTTCAGAAAGGTATGGTCATAACGAAGTTTGTTATATAGTGTTCTGTATTTTTCTACTTCCTAAGTTAGAAAAAAAAATAATTAAAGTTTTCAAATTTATTTCCTTTAAATGTCCATGCAATGTTTCTATTGCTTCACAAGTTATCTTTGATTGACTGAATGATGCCTCCTCTCTCTTCTATGATTTCAACCTTTCCTGAGGTTGAAATCTGGGACAAGAGTACCAGAGAAATAATGCCATACTTTGCTCCCCCTTTCAGTTTTAATTTCCTAAGGTTTTAGGAACAACTATAAAGCAGCAATCACTACTCTAAATGAAATAAAATTTCAATACTTATGACTTACATTTTCTAGCTTCTGATAACGCTCTCTCATAGGAGACTCCAATTCCTCATACATTTTTGCTTTTAACCGTTCTAATTTTTGAGGAGTTAGCACCTTAAAACAGAAAAGTATCACAAGTAATTAGTCATATTCATTCATATTATTTACACTGTGATTGGTCACATAGCCAGGAATAAGGTATTTCAAATATGTTTTTAGGAATTTTACTTAATTTTCTAGGTTTTTCTAAAGAAATTTTAATAGTAGTTACAAAAGCAAAAAAGTATTAGTGAACTAAAAATATTCTGGGAAGATAACAAGCATTTGGAATGTCAGCATTTATCAATAGAAGCAACACAAATTTCAGGCTGAATTGCCAAGAGATTTATCTCCTTTGTGGGGGATGGGGGAAGGAAAAGCAGTCTCACATAAAAGATAAAGAATTAATATCTAACTGAAACAGTAAGTGAACCAACCCAAAAATATCAAAACAAGCAACACCAAACAATTATATGCAAAACACATTAGATGTGTGTTCTCCAACAGGTACATGGATACTGGTTTAAATGGAAAAAAACATCAGGAAAGATTCCTTGCCTTAAGCTCGACTCTGTAAGGTATTTCGTTAAAATTTCTTCGTAGGGTTCACACAGCAAACTATCTACCAAGAAATAGTTTAAAACAAAAAAATTCCTCCACAACTGTGACACAGTCTTATTTATTCTAATTTTCTTTCACTTATCTGTACCCTGGAGTCCCTGGAAACTAGTCCTAGATATGCTACTGAGGCACATCTCCTCCATTCAGAGTCTGGGATTCTTTGGTTAGAGATGATATTTTTTTTTCCTAAGAACATGTCCTGCATTACTTTAAGGAAACAAGCAGTTACATAGAGTGTCACCCAAGTTATCTTTGATGTTGAGGAGTTTTTTTGTTTGATTTTGGTTTGGGATTTTTTTAAGAAAAGAAAGAAGAAAGCTGTCATCACAAAGAAAAACAAATATCTATCTTTTTAGTCACTTGTCCTAACAGATTTAGGCACCTAAGTTACCCTCCAAGACAGATAATTCTCCCCTTAACAGCAGAGCAAACATGGATAGAGACTGAGAGCCTTACACAGCACCTAACAACAGGATTTGGATGATTCAGTTAAACAAGGAAACACTATTTTCAACCCATAGTCACTCTAGAGAAGAGCCATTGCTTGGACTGGGAGAATTTCAAGTCATCTGAAATATATCCAAGCTGGGTATGCATGCTGCATGAACAGAAAAATATGCATGGTCCTACTACATGATAAAAATACATCCCAAGTCCTTCCAGTAAATTATCTCACCTGCTGCTTCACTTGTTCCAGCTCCTGTGTTTTAGCCAGCAACTGCTCTTGAAAGTCAGTAAGAAGCTGCTGAAATTTGTCATGTACAGTCTCTTTTTCAACTAGCAACCTTTTCAGTTCATCTTGTGATTTGGTATAATCCTCTTGCAATCTGAAAGATAAAATTTACTTTATATTCACCTTTTAAAATTAGACCTTAAAGCTCAAAAGACTCACACACAGGAGCAAACATACGGACACCAAATAAGAACTAAGCTATTAATATCATCTTTCTGTAATATATTGAAAAGTTATCCCACAGTTATAAGCATAAAAAGTGCTGCAGAAACATCACCTGCAACGTCTTAAGGTACTTCGAATGGTTTATTTTCCTATATGAACAAAAATCTCTTAAAATCTCTCCTTACACACAGGAATAGCTAACACACATCTCACACATACAAATAAACCCCTTCCAACATTTAGCTTCACCATTTAACAACTCAAATAGAGAAACTTGCTTAAATTGATGTACCTTAGATGTTCTGCCCTTAGAGTTTGGTAATTTGCTTTGTGGTGCTCACTTCGCATTTTTTCATCCATCAAAAGTTTTAGTATTTCCTGTGAATTAACTGCTTCACCACCTTCACCCACAAGGGGAAGGAGGTTGCCCAAAGCATCCATCTTATGAGGACTGCTCACGATGAGTATGCAGGAGACAAGATTAATGCATAACTGATCTACAAGACCATCCACTGGTTACACTGGCATCTCAGAAGATCAAGACACCTGAACAAATACAAGGACATGTGATTAGCATTCAAGCACATTCACAGTTCAAAGGTTTCACACACTGCTTTTGCTTTAAGTACAGAAGAATCCTGGTTCTGCTTTAACACAGATTAGAAACCTTTACTGGAAGTGCAACTCTTCTCAGGGCAGGCTGCATGGGCAGAGAGGTAACAGCGCTTCCAGGGGCACAGGATACACTTAAACATGAAGGTCACTGGAGTCAGTACAAAATAAGAACAAGCACTACTATCTGAAACATTACAAGACATGTTATTTTTACTTATGCTATACATTGAGATTCCAACCATGATGCCCTATTTATGCCTTTTTAATCAGAGTTCAAGCAGAGGTCACAGATAGCAGACACACAGCTTTTCTTACTACTTATTAAAAAGTTTGTCACTCTGTCCTAACATGCTGTATTAATCAACACACCAATACTTCAGCTGGAAGAAAAGCAGATAATTCTCTCCTGAATTCCTACCAAGCCCTCTCTGGAGAAGAGCTAAGGTATCAGGGAGAGCCTGGAAGACACCTGCCCACAGTTCAGTTCTGAAATAAGTCACTTCCTTATTTTCAAAGCTTATTTTGTGGTTGCTTGTGACCTTTCCAGAAAGACTTTTGCAAAATGTGATAATATCAGAATGGTGTGAAGAAAGCTGCAAATCAAGAGTTCCTGAGAAATAAGGAAGTATTCTAATATGTCTCATTAGTGCTTTTTGATATTTGAAGCAATAGGTAAAAATCTGATCATTACTGACACTTCCACAGGATCTGGGGGAGGGAGGACTGTAGCTGAATTTTAGGGAAGTTACAAAGACTTGAAAACAACTACTCTGCCATTTTAGCTTTTTGCATAGCTGGACTGATGCCTAAGAAGTCTATGTCTGCAGTGTGCAAAGTGTACCTTTGTATAAAGTAAAACTCAAACAGAAACAATGATAAATCCCTACCATCACTACAAATACCTTGCCTTCTTTACATGCACAGTTGCATGTATATTTTCTACCACAGCACTCTTTCATGAATGTATCTTAAACACTTCAATTTGATTTTATAAACCCCTGAACTATAAGCAAGATGAAAATATGGGGAAAAAATCCATTCCACTATGACAGGATAATGTCAAGAATGTGTAAATGTAAGACTTTCTTTCCCAGTTTTCCTTCCTCTGTTGCTAAAACGAGAAAAGGTCAGAGAAAAATCTACCACTCATAACATCAGTCTAGGCAAAGCAACAGCAGCAAGTTTTTATTCTGCTTTACCCAAATTTGCTGAAAGAACAAAGAGGAAGAAATCAGAATAAGGAACATTCTCCTCTGTGGCTGTCCTAAATGCACAACCAATTTCAAACATTGGTGACACAGGTTTTGAAGACGCTCCTAATCAATACAATCTCTTTTTCATCCCTGAATTTTGTTGGCTGTTGAGAAACAAAGGACAACAGCAATTTTCAAACTCAATATAAAGACATTTTCAATTGTTAAACCAACAGCTGGACGAGGAGAACAGGTCAGTGATGCTAAAGACAATAAATCATGTGAGAGGGGAGAAAGCTCTGGCACACAGAAAATTCAAGGCAGCATGTCCCTAAGAATTTCTAAGCATATCAACAGGGTTAACATGATCACTATTAAAAGCAAGCAAAAACCCCACACAAACAATAAGAACAAACCAAAACAACAAAAAAACCCCAACAATCAGGCAATAGCACTTTGCTTTCATATGTTGTAGATACTAAATGTAACTATCAAACTATAAGCCAAAGCTCAGAATTAGGAACACAGCATTTAAAGTCAGATCCAAATCCTGCTGCTTACTCAAGTAAGAAGTATTTTTGAAGTGGCATAATGGAGATAAAGTCAAAGACACCAAGGAAACGCTACGTTTTCTCAGACAATGTCAGCCAAAAGATAAACTGGAAGACAGCCTTTCCTACTCTCTTTTCCAAGCTGCTGCAGGTGAGAAGTACATTCTCTCCTCACAGCTTTCGTTGCTATCAAAAAGTGCACAAATTACAACGCAAGACACACACCTGGCCATGTATTCATATGCATGAAGATTTCATTAAAAAGATAAAAGGAGAAAAGAGAGGGAGATAATTGCAGCTGACAAAACAATGCTCCAGACTGCGAAAACCTGTTGTATTTAAGGAAACAAAACTCTTTTGGCTTGCAGGGACATCTAGCGGCAAATGTCGTGATTTGCATTCCTGGTGACAACTGGGAAACAAACAGAGATTTCATTACTTCATGACAGCTCTTTCCTCGAAAACACAAAGAGCAATTAGGAATATTTAACCTATTCACATGAAAAAGTTTTTTCTTGTTTTGGGGTTCTTTTCCCCGCATCACAAAATAATTTCTGGCAGTAAAGTGCTCATAGTCAACAACATTTAGGGATACCAATACTTTATTACCAACCAGAATCTCTTCTGTGCTAATGGTGGACAGTAGTTATTCACAGTCAGTGAACAGGCCTTAAATAATCTTCAAAATTACACAAAGACTACAGTCATAGTTTTTGAGAAATACTTTAAAAGAACACTAGGTTCTTTCTCTCTTGGAGATGTGTTCAAGAAGTGGAGAAGCATAAAACATACTTTAAAGAAACTAAACCCACCATCATATTTAAACTTAATTCTACACCTACTTATTTAGCAAGCTACCAAACGGCAAATTTATATCAGTCATCCCAAATTCCTGCTATGAAGCCTTAACATAGTTTTCCATAGGTATAAATACAAAGGCATTGGTGCAGTGTCCTGAAACCTAGGAAATGCAGACTCTGTAGCTAAAATGGTAGTACTGTAGAATACCTAAGTGAAGGAAATAAATTGCATTTCCAAGAATCACCTTTCTTCTCAAATTATTTCTCTTCCTAAAGAGAGAAACACTGCTGAATTACCTACTATACATCTCTCCTCTTTATAGCTGCACATCACGAAAGGGCTATGCTTTTGCAATATTTTTCAGCTATATTATTTTAACTTTTTCTTTGCTACAAGCTCTTTAAAAGTGAGAATACTTGCATTTAGAGAAAAATATTATATATCAATATGATTTTTTTCTTTATATGAATTTTTATGGCATTTTGTTTTCAACACCAAGGCTTCCTTCTTGTTCACCTGGCATAACCAAATGCCATGACTGCACCCATGCATCCATTGGTCATTCCCCTGAGTGCCATACATAACTCGCTCATGGCTCTCTTTTCCATGCCACACTTAAAACAGTTAAATGTATTGTCTCTGAACACAGTTTGAAACAGAAAGATGATACAATGAATATAATTTTGCAACTAACAAAATACTGACAGTATTTAGCCTTGTGCCAGGTTTTGCTCAAGCAGTAAAATTCTCATTAAAATCTGTGAAAGTCAAAGAGCTTCTTCACACAATTCATGGTCTAATGCCTCTGCCTGCTTCTCTTACAACTCCAGACCTCTTTATTTGCTCTTTTTTTCTAATCCAATTAGCCAAGATCTTCTGAAACAATGAACTATTTGCCTGAAAGAGTGAAAAACTCAAGGAAAGCACAGCCTCATTAAAGCAACTCTTCAAACACCACCCCTTCTCATCCCTGCTCAAGAGTCTACAGCAAGACCAGACAATGGTCTAAAGCAAAAGTATAATCCAACACAAGAGCTCGCTGTCACCAGGAACGGGAGGGCTCCACTCCTCCTTTCTTTGTCCCCATTGCTGTGTTTGTCATTCATCAGACCCCTTCATGAACTGTTTTAACTCAAGAAGCCAACACACTCAAACAAGCAGAAGACACTCAATAGTTTTTCTGTGAGGTCAGTGAGTCACACGAGCTCATGGAAAAATCCAGCAAGCGACATCATCAGTGAAAGTGGGCAGCTGGTACGGACGAGGGGAAAGGAACAAAGAGCCAAGTAAACAGACAGGAGGAGGAGCAAGCCTTTCTCCTTTCAGGAGCACAGAGCTGGCACAGCACAGAGCTCAGATGTTCACAAAATCACAGCCTTGGACTAGATGCCCAGATTTTACACAGTCACAATTCAGTGAAACAAGCCCTATCTTAAACAACTATGCAACACAATCATAAGAGATCATGAACATCAAGTGTGCAACAGAAAACACCCCGACCCCCTTCTATATCTTTTGAGAAATGCAGCAGCACACCACATTTTACTTTAACAGTCCATATTCTACTGATCTGTCATCAGCAAGCTGCAACAGTCAACACAATCACCTTAAAAAAATCTAGGGAGGCAAAACCAAAGAGAAACAGGAAATCCTTTGTTATAGAGAGTTCCATAACCCAGACACTGCTCAGATGTTGCTGCAGAGAATCCACTGAAAATCAATGCTTAACACTTTTGTGCACCAATACTGGAGAATATCTGTATGACAGCTGCATTTCAGAAGACACCAAGCTCATGCAAGCTACTCTCACTCCCTCCACAGCAGTGCTCAAGGTACAAGTTTCAACAACCATTAACCATATATTATGGCAGTGTCCATCCCTACACACAGCACATGGTACCACCCTCTCAGTTTCTGTCTTACTAACAGATCTGGTTACTTATTAGGTGAAAAACAACAAACAAGGTTCTCTCTTAACTCAGGGTTAAAATTTGTGCTTTAGCCACACACACTACCAAGCCAAACTGATAGTAGTTACTGATCAATTTGAGTTCTGAATGGGAGCTACACCTGTAAATTGAGCTGTAGCCAAGAGCAGCCAGTCTCCAAACACCATGTATGTTTTCCAATGATTTTTCATGGCAAGAAGCCTTCAAACACACATAAACCTTCACTCACTAAAATTTCATTCCAAGTTCGACCCAGGATTTTTGCAAATAAGTTATATTCCACAAACAAAGCTCTTCTGAAAAATCACTTCCCTTTCATGCTGACTCAAAAACCGAGATGTTCAGGGAGGGCATAGGTTTCACATTGTCATACATATCCTACACCTCCTGTAGGCAGAAACATGGTTTTATATACACTCTACAGTACGTGGACGAAGATCGAGTGAGAGGCCAAGCGAGCTGCATAAGTCACTGTTATCTTTTTCTGTTTTGTTTTTGTTTTGTTTTACTTTTAGACGTAGGAGCTCGGTCAGAGGAATACCACTAACACGGCTGACACACATCCAGAAGCACAGAAAAATAACAATTTCCCTCCGAGCGAACGTGCCTGAGGATGGCTGCTGGAAAGCAAAGCAGACAAGCGAAAACACTCGAGAGCCCGCAGCGAGCGGGCTCCTCCTGCCCCTGAAGGCGACGGCGAGCGCGGCAGGCCGCAGAAGCCGCGGCAGCCCTGCCGGGGCTGGAGCAGCGGGCACAGAGCGGCGCTGGGCCCTCCCGTCCCGGCTGCGCGGTCACCAACGGCGCGGGCCGGGGGAACGCGCGGCGCCGGGCACGGGCCAAGGCACCTCCCCGCCCGGCCGGCCGCCAAGAGCTGCGGCCCCACGCACGCAGAAGGGCCGCGATCAGCCCAGCGCCCATCGGAGCCCGGCTCCCCCCTTACAGCCCGGTGCCTCGCACGCCCCGACTGCCCCTGGCACAGCGGAACCCCCGCCACAGCCCAGCCAGGCGCGACTGCCGCCGGCCCGAGCGATTTAAAAATGGCGCCTCTCACCTCCCGCCGGCCGCGCCGCCGCCGGGCCCGCGCCGCGCGGGGCACGCTGGGAGCGTTGCCGGGGAGACGGGCGGGCTCCGCAATGGCGGGCCCGCCCTCAGGGCGCACCGAGCTCTCCGATGCCGCTGCTCTCGCACGCAGATCGGTTGAAATGCTGTAAGCACCGACTTCTCGTAAAGATCCTCATTGTCCCTCTAAAATCGCTTTGAATGAAGCAAGAGATTGGCATTAGCATTCCTCTAATAAAGTATTGGCATTCCTCTGATAAAGCTAACAGCGCTTTCATAAGGATTAATATTGTTTTCAATTAGTATATTAGAAGGTGGGTATTGGTGATGACACACACACACATAGCCAAAGAAAAGGTGACAAAAAACCCCCAAGGCAAATGTGACGTTGCCAGCACGGGAGATGACAGCTGCGGTTGCTCCCCAGAGGTGGCTGCCGGCTGATGAAGGGTTTGGATCCGTGATGGCTCAGCGGCAATGGCGGGAGCTCAGCGCTCCTGCCAGCCCGGCTCTGCAAACCGCTGCGCAGGTTTCCGTGTGTGCTGCACTTGTTGCAGTGCTAGAAGTGAAATATCAACAGTACTCCATCCATACCAATGCACACCTATAGGGAGATAAATTACTCCACAGGACTGCAATGAATTAAAAATTAATCTTTATTCAAAACTAATTTTGATGAAAAATATGGTCATTAAAACCCATCAATCCAGTTTTACACTGCAAAGTAATCTTTCTAGAAGGTGTCATGAAGTTAAACTCTCCTTTTCTGTATCCAATTTGCTTATTTTTTTAATTTTTATTTTTTCACTATCAGCTCTACAAATATTAACTAAGACCAAACACAAGCCTTTCACCCTTTTACATCTGCATTAACAGGAATGGTAGAATAACACAGATTTTTTCTCTGGTTTTATTAGTGTCTGTTCATAGCAGAACTACATAGCTATAATCTACTGGAAAACAATTCATTTACGTGAGAAACAAGACATGACACCAAGAATCCAGAGCACTCAGTGTGAGCCCTGTGGGGGACACAGCAAAAAAGCTACAAAATGTAAAATCATTTAGGTAACTAAAATCAACAGACAGGGTTGGGTGTCTCTTGCCAGCTAATTCAAGGAATAATTATTGTGTAAGTATTTCCAATGCATAATCTTTTTCTAAAAGGATAACTCAAGATGGTGGAAATTGTGTTACTTTATTTTTGCCTCCACGTTTTTCACATCAGTCAGAGAAGTGTTCTTGTTTCCTTCTGAGATTGGCTGAGTCAGATCATTCCAGTTACTCACTGATGGCCAGTGGTTCTCAAGTGTGGGTGGTAATGGGGCTCTTCTTCCTCACAGTGACCATCCTGCCCCTGCTGGCTTTCAAAGGAGAGCTGCTCTAGTGACTCAGATGGGAATCTTGCAGAGTACCCAGAAAGAGAGAAAAAGCAAGAATCAAGGGGGACTTCAAGGGCACAAGGAGGAAATGGCTGAAGGGAGGAGGAATAGAAAGCAGAGCTTATAGGAGTAGGAGTGAAGGCACACAACAAAAAGAGAAGAGACGGTCAATCAAGAGAGGGATCTGAACAGCAAGAGGCAGAAACAGCTAGAAAATTAAGACTTTAAATATTACTAGACAAATATAGGGGGAAAATAAGTGAGAAGTAAATATGAAGTGATTTTGTTGGGGAGAGAGGGGAGCCACATACTGAAATTGGTTTATTTGATTTCTCTTCTAATTCAGTACATAAAGGAAACATGTATAAAACCCTTACACAAAAATAGGATTATTCCAAACTTCTCTTTTTGAAACATCTCCCACAACACAAGCAGGGATTTTTTTTTTTTTTTTTTTGTAAAATCAAATGTATGCAGCTACAGGTGTCACTAGTTTATTTTTTAAAAAAAGTCTCTTTAAGGGACACTTGAAGTTCACTGTGGCTCAAGTAAAAGTAAAGAGATTTCATTTAGAGAGCTTGCAGATTTTGATCAACATTATTAGAGATTGTTTGTGACTCTTTGTCATATTATATTAGTTCTGGGTAGATCAACATTTCACAGAGCAGCAAAGTTCATGCTCACACAAAGAAAGCAATAAAATATAAAGAGCTGTAAAATATGTAGAGAAGCCCAGGAAAATATTTCAATCCATTTTGCAGATACAGTCTTTGGACGAGTATACTGACTAGTATGTCAGAAGTCTTGAGTTTGAAAGCTGAGCAAGCTGAGTTGAGCAAGCTGAAAATAGTTTAGTTGTTAGATTAGACAAATCCTCAAGCTCCTGTAGCCCTGTGGCATACCTGGAGAGAAGGTTTTGTTGCTATGTACACATGCTGCTGGTTGTACCTGTAGTTTAATCCATGCTTAGTCGATGTCACCTTGACCTGAATCCAGCCTGGCAGGACAGAGGCC